GTCCGGGGCTCCGTGGCGGGGTCGAGTCGGATCGGGAGCCATGAGCGTGGACAAGGCCAAACTATGCGGGTCTCTGCTCACCTGGGTAGGTCGGGGCGGGGCTGGGGACAGGTGAGCGCCCACTCGCTCGTCTCGCCCACAATCCCGGCCCTTCCCCAGTTGGCCCTTCCGTCCTAGGCTGGAAGGTGGAGGGGGTCGTGGGCCTGCAGGGCCGTTGGACTTCGGTCCGAGCACCCGCCCCCGTCACGTGGCAGGTCTGCGTGGAAAGGACAGGTGAGGCCCCGCCCCTCTGCCTGGCTCACTTGGGGTAGCGGGCACAGGTGTGCTGGCCTGGTCACGTGGTTCCGACTTGACCTGGTCGCGCGGGGTTTACTGGGCAGAGGTGAAAGGAGGCCACGCCCCCTTCGGGCTCAGGTGTGCAGAAGCCACGCCTTCCGCAAAGCTGGCTACTAGTGCAACAGGCCTGTGCCCGCCCAACTGGGAGGTTTCTGCTAACCAGGAAAAGACTGTAGAAGAGGAGTAGTTCAAAAGTTCCAGCCCTTGAATTTCCCCGTTGCCCTTCTCTTCCCTCCTCAGTTGCAGACGTTCCAAGTTCCACCCTGCTGCATCAGCCCCCAGGACCTGAGCAGCGGCCTGGCCATTGCCCACGTGCTGAACCAGATGTGAGTGAGGCTGACGGGGAGAATCTCCCAGAGGGTGCCCCAGCCAGCTGATCCCATCTTTTCGCCCTCAGAGACCCCACCTGGTTTAACGAAGCATGGCTCCAGAGCATCTCAGAGGATCCAGGTCCCAACTGGAAGCTGAAGGTGACTGACTGGTGGACTTACGACTAGGAGAACACACTAGTGAAGAGATCATCACAGTGGGGCAGCTGGAGAGATGGACAGACATATCTGGCCAGGAACAGATGTGACCAGACAACTATTTTGTCCCTCAGTACATCTGTTGAGCACACATTTCTTGGGTACTCAGCAAGGAAAAACAGACCAAAGCCTGCCTTCATGTGGCTTTTACTCCAGTAATATGGACAAACAATACATATGCAAACATACAGATTAACTTCTAGCCAAGCCAGGTGTGGTGGCACATGCCTGTAATACCAGCATCCAGAAGGCTGAGGCAGAAGGATCACCTTGAAGTCAAGGCCAGCCTGACTACCTATTGAGACTCGATCTCAAAACAAAAACCAAAAAAAATTTAACTTCTAGTTGAGCATGGTGGCATATACTTGTAATCCAAGCACTATTGAAGGATCTTGAGTTTTAGCCCAGCCTGGCCAACTTAGTGACTTTGCAAGACCTTGTCTCAAAAGAAAAAAAAAAAAAAAAAAAAAAAA